GTTTCCAATTTTTCCATCTCTTCTTTTTGTTGTTGTTGTTGTTGTTCTTTCTCAAGCCTTTATCAAGCATGGTAGAAAAGTTTTTGTATACATATACATATAAATAATATGTATAATATATATTTATATTTTAGAAAACGCATCAATTTTTGCCTAACTAAACCATTTGTGGAATTTTGATTCCACTTGTTTGACTTAATATGAATAGAATGCTAATTTTCTAATTAAAAATTTCATATGCAACAAGGAACAAAGGCAATGTATAGCACAGGGAATTAGAATCAATATCTTGTAAGAAACTATAATGGAAAATAATTTCAAAAATAAAATATGTGTGTATGTGTAACTGACTCATACACACAAAAAAGAATTCTACTTTTTGATATTTAGTAATGTTTCTCTTTTTGGAAGTTTTTCTAAATGTCTTATGGACATCTAATAACAATATATGAGATACAAAATTTTAAATATATTTTGTGTAGGATATTATTAATATAAATTAATTAAATAAAATTTATTACATTTAAGGGTTTCCCTTGTGTCTCAGCTGGTAAAGAATCCGCTTGCGGCAGATTCATGTCAATGTATGGCAAAAACCACTACAATAAAAAAATAAAATAAAATAAAAAAAAGAATCCACTTGCAATGCAAGAAACCTGGATTCGATCCCTGGGTTGGGAAGACCTCTGGAGAAGGGAAAGTGTACCCACTCCATTATTCTGGCCTGGAGAATTCCACGGGCTGTATAGTCCATGGGGTTGCAAAGAGTCAGACAGGTCTGACTAACTTTCACTTTTCACTTCATTATATTTAAATTACTAATAATGTCTTTAAAGATTCTCCTATTCTTATATTTTCTGCACTTGATAAAATATTCTCAGAAAAATGTTAATATGTCTATGATTATATGTTTCTTTTCCTTTATATTTCTTCTTATTTTTGCTTATGTATTTTGTTTCTTTGTTGTTAAGATGTCTAATGGTTTATGATGCCCATGATCTCTGTGAATTGTACCCAAAGGGGGAAAAAAAAAGAGCTGAACACAACCTAGCGACTGACCAGCATAGCAGGTCAGGGAGCTCCCTGTTTTTACCTGAATGACTGTATCAACCCTCTCTGTGTGTGCTGTTTATAATGTTCTCTTTGATGAAATGTCTGTTTACACTTTTGCCTATTATATACATTGGGTTTATACTTTTCTTATTGAGTTGGAGAATTTTTACCTAGTGTTGATACAAGTTATTCATGAGATGTCTGAAATGAAATACTTTTTTAAATTGTGGCTTGCTAAGTGTCTTTTTCACAAAAAACTGGAAAATTCTTGATGAGATGGTAATACCAGACCACTTTACCTGCCTCCTGAGAAACAGGTATGTAGGTCAAGAGGCAGCAGTTAGAACCAGACGTGGAACAATGGACGGGCTGAAAATTGGGAAAGGAGTACATCAAGGCTGTATATTGTCAGCCTTCTTGTTTAACTTATATACATCATGAGAAATGCCAGGCTGGATGAAGCAGAAGCTGAAATCAAGGTAGCCAGGAAAAATACTGCTAACCTCAGACATGCAGATGACACTGCCCTATAGCAGAAAGCAAAGAGGAGCTAAAGAGCTTCTTGAATAAAGTGAAACAGGAGAGTGAAAAGGCTGGTTTACAACTCAGCATTCAAAAAGTGAAAATCATGGCATCCAGTTCCATCACTTTGTGGCAAATAGATGGGGAAAAATTATAAACAATGACAGAGTTAATTTTCATGGGCTCTAAAGTCACTATGGATGGTGACTGCAGCCATGAAATTGAGACGCTTGCTCCTTGGAAGAAAAGCTATGACGGACCTAGACAACACAATAAGAAGCAGAAACATCATCTTGCCTACAAGGGTCTGTATAGTCAATGCTATGGTTTTTCCAATAGTCATGTTCAGATGTGAGAGCTGGACCATAAAGAAGGCTGAGCACTGAAGAACTGATTCTTTTGAACTGTGGTGTTAGAGAAGACTGTTGAGAGTCCTTTGGACTGCAAGGAGATCAAACCAGTCAAGCCTAAATGAAATCAACCCTGAATATTCATTGGAAAGACTGATGTTGAAACGCCAATACTCTGGCCAGCTGATGCAAAGAGTCGACTAATTGGAAAAGACCCTGATGCTGGGAAATATTGAGGGCAGGAGAAGGGTGCGACAGAGGATGAGATGGTTGGATGGCATCACCGACTAAATGGACACAAGTTTGAGCAAATTCTGGGAGATGGTGAAGGACAGGGAGGCCTGGCCTACTGCAGTTCATGGGGTCTCAAAGAGTTAGACATGACTTAGCAAATGAACTGAACTGAAATGTGTTTTCCAAACATCGGAAGTTCTTCATTTTGATGAAATTCTATTTATATCTTACTCAGAAATGCTTTTGGCATGGTATCTGATGAAACTTTCCTATCTCAAGACCATGAAGATTGTCGCCTATATTTTATTTTAGAAGTTTTTAGTTTTATGTTTTACATTTAGGTCTGATACATTCTGAGATAATTTTTGTATAAGACATAAGATATAAATCAAGATTTCATTCTCTTTTACTTTTTTGATTTGGATATCCAATTGTTTTAGCACCATTTGTTGAAAATATTATCCTTTCTTCACTAAATTTTCTTTGCATCTTTGTCAAAAATCAATTAACAGGAATTTCTCTGGTGGTCCAGAGACTAAAAATCCACACTGCCATTGTAGGGAGAATGGGTTCCTTCCCTGGTCAAGGAACTAAGATCCCACATGCTGTGAGGCACAGCTAAAAAGTAAATAAGTACAAATACATTTAAAAACCAATTAGCAATAGAAGTATGAGTCAGTTTCTGAGCACTCCGTTCTGTTCTTTTTCTAGGGAACAGGGTCTTTATCATTGCAGCTTTATAGTATAGGTAGCATGGGTATTGCCCGTTCACTTTTTTAAAGAATAGCTTCTGGTTATTCTAGGCCCTTTGTTTGGCCATACAAATTATAGATTCATGTTTCAATTATATATAGAATCATTTTAGAATACTGGCACACTGATTCTATTTTCTGGGAACTGGGCAAACTCATTTATTAGTTGTATGTTGATTCTTGGGAAATTTCTACATAGAAAACTTTGTAATCTGTGCCAAGAAACTTTCTTCTTTTGTTTGTCTGTACGCCTTTTGTTTCTTTTTCTTGCTCTGTTTGTCTGACCAAGGCTTTTGGTACAATGTTGAATAAAAATAGTGAGAACATACATCCTTTGTTTGTTTCCGATTTTAGGAGAAAATAACTCAATCCTTCACTGTTACATATAAAGTTAAGCATAGGGTTAATTTTTGTTTGTGTGTAGATGTCCTTTATCAGACCTAGCAGTGGGTATAGCGTGGATCTGTGCACTTCTCCGTGGCAGATTGGTTTTTACTGTTCCCTCCCCCGCCACAGTAGGTTTTCTCCAGAGTCCTCAGGACACTGCTCTTTGTTGCCTTTTCTCTTGTAGACTAGCTGGGCTTCCCTGAGGGCTCAGGGGTAAAGAATCTACCTCCAGTGCAGGAGACCCAGGTTTGGTCCCTGGGTGGGGAACATCCCCTGAAGAAGGAGCTGGCAGCCCACCCCATATTCTTGCCTGCAGAATTTCATGGACAGAGGAGCCTGGTAAGCTACTTCATAGGGTCGCAAGGAGTCGGACATGCCTGAGCAATTAACACTTGCAGATTAAGGTTCCTGTGCTGGAGGGAGGGTTGGAAAATGGATGTGGACAGACCTGAGAAGGACCTACCATCCAGGACCCCCAAACAGCTTTATAACGGGGCATTCTGAGGGCTCTCTCTAATCTAACATTTGAGTTCCTGGTGGGGTCCTGAAAGAGAAGTCTTCTAGAAGTCTGGACCGCCTCACGTCTGAGCTGCAGGGACTTCACCCTCTCATACTAGCCCTCATTTAGATCTTAGTAATTCTCAACGTTTTCTTGCTGAATATTCTTACTAGCATTTAGTCATACTTTGTTGGGACCTTTTTCTTTTTTTGTAGGTGGCTCTCTTTCAAAAGTCTCAGCGCTTTGCCCTATAATCTCAGTTATCTAGTGAGTTCAAGAAAATAAGTGAAAGTTTTTTTTTTTTTTAACCCTGTTTCTTACTGGAATAGTGAGAGCAACACTTTTCCAGTTCCATACATCTGAAACTAGATGTTTCTTCTCATCTAGAGTTGAGGAGGAAGGAAAAGTTTGGAGAGGTACTGAGTTATAAAAAACTACTCTGAGCCCTGTGTTGTGCTAAATTGCTCATATTATCAAATTTAGACACTAAACAATTGCATGAGCAGGAACCATTATTATTATTATTACCATGTCAGTTTGTACTCTTAATGATTTCCTGGACTGCCTTTATCTCGGGTAATCATCACCAATCATCTGACTAAAGGGATCATGATGTTCTTGGTGTTGTTACATGATCAGCTCTTAGCAGAATACTTGCCACATGGTGAATGCAGAAAAGGTCCCTGTTGAATAAATTAGTGGAAGTGGAGACTTCCCGCATATATACAATAGTCATTACAGGACCTCCACATTCCTTCGTTTCCCGCATTAGTGGAAGCCTGGGATGGGCTGGGATCTGTGCACTCAGAAATACATTTATTCATCTATTGACCCTGTGAAGCTGAGAGGGTGGTGGGAAGGCGACCACAGAGCCCGGAGAGAAGGGAGGGCGTGGCCCAGACAGCCTCTCCTGACTCTTCCTACCATCTTCCTACCTCCATCCTGGGAAACTGGCTCTTCTCTTTGGCCTTGGTGGTGAACCATCTGACATTCTCAGAGCCAAGTCTGTAGCTCTGCGTCATTTTAACTGTTGCTTCCCCCCACCTCCCCCGCCGTTCACAGGTCCCTTGTTTTTCATGACATAACGTGTCTTTCTCAACATTCCGGAGTCCTGCTGCCTTACTTAAAATCCGTTTAATGGTACGAACTGGATCTTCAGGTAAAGGCGCACACTTGTGACCCGCGCAGCAGGGCGCCACGGGGATGAAACGCAGCCCAGTTTACCAAGGCAGGACGGCCGAGCAGCGGCCGCGTCTGCTGGGAGGAAGCGCCGCTTCCCGCTTCCGCAAAGGCACTCTGCGGGCCGACGATGGCCCTGATCCTGCGTGAGACTGCTGAGCAGGGGGCAGATCAGGAAAGTAACCTTTTCCTTTTGAACCTGAAATTTCTAGTAACTTCTCTGCAGTAGGCTCTGACCCTTCTGCTGCCTCCCTCTGCCATTTATTGTGTTTCTGCTCTCACGTGCTTAGATTACCCTTGGTTTTGCTTCCTCTCCCGGTCATCCACCCACCCCGTCCCACTCCGCCACACACAAGCTCACAGCACCAGTCTCAGTTCCCTTCTCCAATCCTATTTCATTTTTCACTGGGATTCTAAAACCAATCCTGGTACTCGCACCTGCTCAGGAAATTAAAATGTCTAATCTTCTTCGGCTGTGGCATCGCTGTGAGGCCAAACTGACAATCTGCTAACTACAGACTCAGAGCTAAAATAACAAAATGTTTTGCAAGCTGGGCTAGAATCACAGGTGGCAGATTCTTTTTTAGCTTTCTGAAGCCAACAAAGCAAAAGAAAAATATTCCCCAGCTCCCGTCTGCTTTTTCTGTTAAACAGTAGGGAGAGGAGCCTCGAAGAGGTGTGTCTGTGGACTTCTTTGCTGCCTTCCCCACTCTTTCTCCATCTCCATCTCACATTCGCTTATCGTGGATAATCATCCTCCCTCCCGAGGCGTATGCCCCAGAAGGCATCCTGAGCAGCTGTGATGACCAGAAGCCTGGGTCGAGCCTGGGTGGAGGGTTCCTGCCCACTGCCAGTCTTTAGTCTTGGAAACACAATGGTTCTCTGACAGCTGGCTGCCTCCCTGAAGGAGGTGAATGTTCTGCTTGCAGATTGAGAGGGCATCTTTCCCGGAGGGTTGATGGACATGGCTCAGGACACTGGTCCACGGGTGTCATGCGCTGAGTTGCCCCGAAGGAATGAAAAGGAAAAGAGCATCCAGCAGAGCTGCTTGAACACTCGGAGAGCATCCTGGTTCAGCACGTGTGTGCTCAGCGCTCTTTGCCGCAAACGTTCTTCCTCCAGCTCTGTGGATGTTTCCCTCCCTCATCTTTATTCAGATATTTGCTCAAACTTGATTGCTTCCCAAGTTTCCTATGTAAACATGTTTACAGCACTTTATACTTTTATGGAGTTTATTGCTCCCTCTCTCTAGCTTATTTTTTGTTGTCGTCATCCTCTCTCAGATTTAAGCTTCATGTGTTGGCGTGTGTGTGCTCAGTCGTGTCCGACTCTCAGCCATGTCCCTTTGGACTGTAGCCCACCAGACACCTCTGTCCATGGGATTCTCAGGCAAGGATACTGGAGTGGGTTGTCGTTTCCTCCTTCAGGGGATCTTCCCAACCCAGGGATCAAACCTGCATCTCCTGTGTCTCCTGCATTGCAGGCGGATTCTTTACCCACCAAGTCATTGGGGAAGTTTCATGAGGACAGGGATTTTGTTTTGTTGTGACCTTCCTCATACTCAGAACACTGCCTGGTAAATTAAAAAAAAAAAAGGTGATCATTAAATGTTTCACGTGTATGAACCTCAGGAACATCTCAAGTGGGCCAGGTACCTTGTCAGTTGCTTTACATACTTTATTTCATTTCATATTCAAATCATCTTGCCAACCAAAGTGCTAATGGTTTACAACACTTTACAGAAGAGGTGACCAGAGGGTCGTGATGTTAGGAATGCCTGGGCTGTTTCCACAGTGACTTGGCCTCTGGCTAGTCTGACCTCAGAGCCTGTGTCGTGTCCACCAGCGGTCGCTGCCTTCCAAAAGCGGTAACCCTGAGTCTTCCTCCCCGTTCCATTTCCCCAGTCCTTAGCCTGTGATGGGAAGGACTAGAACATTTTCTGGGATAGAGAAGAGTTTCTTAGGCCCTCTTTCTGACTACACCTCCCTGCTCTGAAACTTCTCACGTCCCTGGTCCTCCAGACTGGCTGCTTCTCTCAGAGCATCCTGATATGATTGATGGCACCTTTCCTTGGGTACTTCTTCAGCTTCTATCCATAGTTTAGTGATGTGTGAAAACAAATTTCACTTAAGAATTTTCACTAAATTCACAAAGGGATAAGATATCAAAGCTTTGTAAATCATTCATGTCTGCTCTCTTGGCAGAGTCACAGTTTTCCGGATCACAGTGCGCAGACGGAAAACGTGAGCTCCCGGGAGGTTGAGAAGCTTCTCTATGTGTCTCCCTGCACTTTGGTACCCAGTCCCAGAGGCCTGCACCCCACTGATGGGGGCTGCATCCTTCTCTGAAAAGAGCACTTCAGCCCTGCACCCAGATCTGCCCTGTGTGGTTCTTCAGGCTGTAAGCCTGCTCTGCCTGGCCCCACGGTCACCGTGTGTTGGGGCAGGTCCACCCCTGCTAGCTGGCACGGTCTCAGTCCTGCAGGCCTGTTGATCCCGTCCCCCACCACATGGGTTGTTAAGCTTCCACCTCACTACTCTTTCACCTGGCTGACCTACAGACTCAGGGCTGTGCACCGCCTTCCTTGTTCTTTGCACCTCTTCTTTACCAGACCTGTTGCCTGGGCCAGCCTGTCCTCACCTCACCTGGTCAAGAACCCAGTCTTTTGCTATGTTCTCCTGTGGGAAGCCCCTCTTTGGTTTTCCCAAGCCCTGCTCTTCAGAAGTCCCTAAATACCCTTTAACAGACATTTTTGGGATTTGATTTTAGTTGCCCTGAAGCCCATAGAATGCAAAAAGGAAGCAAGCTTTATTAAGCCAAGATTCTTAACTTGACAAGGGTTTTAACCCAGCTTATTCATCTGTTCAACAAGGAGCTACTGATAACCTGAAACATACCAAAGACTATGCCCAGTGCTGGAGACATAGAGACACAAGGGCTCCGCCTTTCCTTTCATGGAGTTCAGAGCTGCGGTGCAGATTGTAGAAGACAGGGAGAGAAGGAAGCAATGTCAGCCAGCATTTGCTAAACCTGTACTTCTATATTTCAAGTCCTGCACCAAAGAGTTAACATGCTTCTACTCATCTGACTTGTGCCTCAGTGTGCCCATGGATTTTACCCATTCCTATAGGCCCCAGCTGTCCTTCTTTTTGTCCAGCTCCTCTGCAAAGGTGTGGGTTGTTAGAACTGCTCAGGGATTCCCTGGAGACACTTGATGGTGATCAGCGGGAAATACTGCGGGCCGGACTTCAGATAGAATGTCACTGCCTGTATGTGGCATTCTGTAAGTGGCATTAAGTTCAGTTCAGTCGCTCAGTCATGTCTAACTGTGACCCCATAGACCGCAGCATGTCAGGCCTCCCTGTCCATCACCAACTCCCAGAGTTTACCCAAACTCATGTCCATTGAGTCGGTGATGCCATCCAACCATCTCATCCTCTGCTGTTCCCTTCTCCTCCTGCCCTCAATCTTTCCCAGCATCAGGGTCTTTAAAAATGAGTCAGCTCTTCTCATCAGGTGGCCAAAGTATTGGAGTTTCAGCTTCAACATCAGTCTTCCAATGAATACTCAGGACTGATGTCCTTTAGGAGGATGGACTGGTTGTATCTCCTTGAAGTCCAAGGGACTCTCAAGAGTCTTCTCCAACACCACAGTTCAAAAGCATTAATTCTTTGGCACTCAGCTTTCTTTATAGTCCAACTCTCACATCCATACAGGACTACTGGAAAAACCATAACCTTGACTAGATGGACCTTTGTTGGCAAAGTAATGTCTCTGATTTTTAATATGCTGTCTAGGATGGTCATAACTTTCCTTCCAAGGAGTTAGATTCTTTTAATTTCATGGCTACAGTCACCATCTGCAGTGGCATTGGGCTGTCCTTAATCCCTACCCTTCTTCAGCTGCTCTCCTCCTCTTCTAAACACATGTAATGTTTTCTAACTGAGTACCCTCTAACCACTCCCCTTATCTACCTTCCTGTGCCACAGATTTGAGTTCTTTCCTGAAAAGAAATCTGATCATAGTATATCCTGCCCAAAGACCTTAAATGGCTTTCTAATTCTTTAGGGTCAAGTCCAAAATCCATAGCTTGGCTTCTTAGGCATCGACCTGGCTCCTGTCTGAACCAAACCCTAACTGTAAGCCTAACCCTGACCCTGAAAGTGAAAGTGTTAGTTGCCTGGTCATGTCCAAATCTTTGCATACCTATGGACTGTAGCCCACCAGGCTCCTCCGTCCATGGGATTCTCCGGGCAAGAATACCGGAGTGGGTTGCCACTTCCTTCTCCAGGGGATCTTCCAGACCCAGGGATCAAACACACAACTCCTACATTGCAGGCAGATTCTTTACCATCTGAGCCACTAGGAAGTCCTAACCCTGACTCTAACACGGAGCCTGAGCGTGACCCCTGCCCTAACCCTAACCCTAGCCTGGCTTTAGCTTCTGAGCTCACCATTGCCTCCTGGTTCACTTCATTCTGGCCCCACTGGCTGTCTGGGAGCTCCTGGAGTGATGCTTTTCCTCCCTCAGGGCCTTTAATCAAACTTTCCCTTCTGTGCAAAAGCCTTCTTCTCCCATCTCAGGCTCATTCCCATTGTTTGACAGTTTTTTGCTTAAAAATGCGCCCCCCCCCCCCCACACACAGACTTCCTTTCTTTTCCCTCAAATAGTTCAGGCCTCCTATTTTATGCTTCTGTGGTACTCTGTCTTTATTCTTTCAGCCACTGTCATGGCTACCATTGTTATATGTGAGATGAAATGGTTGGCCGCCTGCTAGTCTTTGGTTAGAAGGCAACCTGCAAATAAAATGGTTGCTGCTATATTAGAAAGTGGGGGTCTGGCTGCTCACTGCTCAAAAGTCAATAAAGAGACAGAGTTGGTGAAAAGGGAATTTTGCTTTATTTTGGATGCTAGCAACCAGTGGGCTGGGCCAACTCCCACAAAAGGCCAACTCCATCCACTGACAAACAGTAGACCAGCGCTTTTCTAGATGGAGGGAGGGCGTCTACATGTAGAAATAGCACAGTCAGCTCTGACAGTCATCTTAAAATTGATCATGCAGTGGTCTTACCAGCATCATCGTGATTGTGTCAAGTATAATTAATCTTCAGTTCTAGGGTCAGTGTATTCCCATTTCCCTGAGGC